TAGATTTAAATTGAAATTGCATGCCACTAAAACATCTGCTCTGGGCACCCACACTCTTGAAGTGTTTAGGGAACTCACGCTATGTAAAAGTTCCTTTATCTGAGCAAGTTGATGGACTCTGCTAGAGCTGGCCAAACCTGCAGCGACCCTCTACCCACAGTGTGCCTAAACAGACCCTATCAGACACAGGCACTGTCATCTTTACGTCCTGCTTGTAGCTCTGCAACCCCACGGCCGAGCTGCAGAGTCTAACATGGCCCCTATGTGGCCCTTTTCAGAAAGCTTATTCTAACTAAGCCTTGCTCTGAACGGGGCTTTTCTATGAGGACAGGAGATGTTGTCATACAAAGAGAGCCTTATGTGAGTCACAGAGGGTTTGTGGGTGCTGGCTCCCCAGAAGTCTGAGAGGGCAGGTGTGGAATGTATCACAGCAGGGAGCACAGGCTTTGTTCGGGGCCCAAGGCCCAGAGTGTGTGGGCAGAGTGTGTGCACATTAATGTGTTTATACTTACGTGTGTAGGGTATGTGTCCCTGGGACAGTGGCAGGGCAGATTAAGGTGCCACCTGGGCCTCCCAGAAAGAGGTCATGAGCAGTGAGAGCCAAGAGTAGAAAGAGGTTATGAGCACTGCAATGAGAAACAGGAGCAGAATGCCTCCCATCCCCATCCTGCCCCACAGATGGACTTGCCTCTGTGGGCCTGAATCCAGTGCAGGTCACTGGAGAAGCCCAAACTCATGAGGGCAGCTTGAGCAGAGTACCCACCCATCCCAAGCAGCAGCCTTTGGCAAAGAGGCTGGCCCTCCCAGGTCCCACAGAAGATAGCTGTGTGTCCCACAGATACTGGTGGGCACCCTTCCTGGGTTCACTGGTGTGACCCGCCATTGTGGTGAGACAGCTGGCCACATTACATCCAGAGAGAGAGAGATATGAATGCTGGTATTTAGTTCACTTCCTCTTAGTCTGTCCAGGCCACCACCCCGAGATTTGGTGCTGCCCACATTTAAAGTGAATCTTACTTCAGTGCTAAACAGACTGGCAAAGCCCATGCCCCTAGCTGGGACACTTTTGCAAAGAAATTGCTCTCTGCACATTTGGCAAATGAGTGTGCTACATCAGAGCATTTGAGTGAGGCTTTGCTACAGGAGGAGTTGGAGCTCAGCCCTGGAATTGCAATTGTACCTTCCTATAATCAGGAAGAAGCTTTGATAGGTAGATGCACGCATACTGATGGTTTCGGACTTACGTTTTGAGTTTATGGTACACATTCAGCAAGAACTGTATGTTGAGTATTGCTGTTTTTCCCTGGCAATACACAGTACAACTCTCTAGTGGCACAGGGACCGTGGGACTTTGATCTAATCGCCAGCAGTGCTGTGCCCTGTGTCACTCAGCTGTGCTGTGCAGGATGCCACTTATCATTCCCCGATTAAGGATGATTTGAGGGATGGAATACACCAGAAGTAAATCGAATGGTATCTGCATTGTGCCTTGTGGTTCAGAATCCTCAACCAATTGTTTTGCTGTCTTAAAAAAAAAAAAGCTAGTTAAAATCCATTCACAGAGTTAAAGGAGAAACCTAAAATAAAAATGACACATTGCACCACGCCTTTTGGTCCTGTGTACCTGGGAATCACTTGGTCTGCACCCTCCCACACACACACACCTTGTCAGCTTGACCTGCAGCAGCACAGGAAAGACTCTCCTTCCCTTCTTCCCCTGGGGCACACTGAGCAAGCTGTATAGCATATGTGGCCTGGATCCCAGCCATGTTCAAGCCACAGTGCTTGCAGTGTGATGCCTCCTCTACAAGGAGCTCTTGGTTCTTGGTCCATGATGGGTCATCAATGAATGACTCAAGGGAAATCTCTTCCCCTTTAGAGAGTCATCTTCATGGGAGCCAGATAAAAAAGGACATCACTTGCAAGAGTCTCTTCTCTCAGCCCCTCCCCCAACTAGGTATGGAAATAGCCAGGTCTTGTGAATTTTTCTTTGAACATTTTCCTTTCATTATTTGTCTGTACTCTCTGAGCTACTAGGTCAATATAGAGTTCCATTTCTGGAATGATGATCTGGTTTGTAGCTGACCAGTTATTCTGATGAAAACAGAAATATGTATACATATGTATAATAAAATCTATCTATCTATCTATCTATCTATCTATCTATCTATCTATCTATCTATCTATC